GATTAACAACATGTGACTTTATATAAAATTTAAGGGATGACTACGGAAAGGATGCACAAAAACCTTGTAACCAATTGACACACTGTATGGAATGGAAGATGTGTTTTATGTCTTTGTCTGTTTTTGTTTGTTTAAAAATAAAAAAATATGACAGTCAAAATCATGACCTTCATAAGATAACTCCATTCTGGACTGTTGGACTTATAGTACCGTCAAATTCCCAGCCAGAATTTTTACCTTTCTTTTATGGATAGTGATAGACATTTTTAATACTTGCCACATTGAAATTATTTGGATACAATAATTATTTTTGTAGGGTTAAGTATTTAGAGACTGATCTAAAAAAGTAAATGATACAAGAGAAAAACTGGAATAACCTGATGTTGGGTAGAAGGAAATTACAATGAAAATCTTTCTATTCCATTTCTACTTATGAATCTTTTAATGAGATGATTCTAGGCTTCTAAAGACTAGGCTTATTCTTTTAAATCACCATCTAATCCAAAAATAATTAATTTAGCCACTGTAACAAAAAAAATTTAAAAAAAGATATACCATGGTTTATTTCTATAACACAATCACAAAAACAATTTGAAACATGACATAGGAAGTGTATGCAGAATTAATGCTGACAAAATGCTTTTGTTCTTAAAACTAGTCATTACAGTTAATTTTCAAAGAAACAAATCTATCAGCCAAAGTAGAAAATGAATCAATGTGCATAAATTATTTCATTGACCATTGCATAATAGATATGTATATATCACTTGCTTGTCAGCACAAGCAAAAATCTTGAGGCACATTAAAAATTAATAAAACATTCTGGCATCATGTTTCATATATTATACTTACCCACAATTATATCATCTAATAAATGTGTTTGGCTTTTTAAAGAACCACAATACTCCATATGGTTAGCTTGATCAGATCAACATTTCTAAGTCTTCTGCAACTTAAATGTTCTCTTTCCCTCTATACCCACAAACGCACACACATGGGCAAATGCAGAATACTGTATGCAATAATAATTATTTATTAAACGTGTAAACATAAACGCTCAATGAATCTGGGAAGCTATAAGTATTATATTAAATCACTTACCTTGTTAAAATCAAATGTCTCAAACATTTGTTCAACATATTCGTTTGATGATGGACTCAGATTTTTCAATCCAAAAAACTGTTTAAACTCATGTAGAGTCAATTGTCCAGAGGGACACTCTGTCATAAATTTCTTGTACCACTGGTGGCACTCTGTGGCACTCAATTCTTCAACAGATTTGCCATCCATATTCCCCATATTTAAAGCTAAACAGGGAACAGTGAGGTACACTAAACGTTTTTCCTCTCTTTATTAAATATTCAAATGGAAGGGATAGCTCAAAGTAAAACTAATGAAGTAGAAAAGAGGACAGAAGCTATTAAAAATAAACTTCTTTAATGAGGGAAGGTGAAGAGGCTCTTTGAGAGTTTTAAAGTAGTGACAGCTTCTTCAAAGCAGCTTCCGATGTTTAAAGACTTAACACTAAATAGCCAATGAGAGAAAAGTCCTGTGATGGGTTGCTAGTGTCATAGAAAACTGAGACCAAAAATAGAACAAAATGAGAGACTAGTGGATTATAAGGTGAAAAGGTGAAAATGGCTATAACCATAACTTTGAAAATAGCTTAATAATATATAATCCACTTTCGATTATGTCAGATATGAATATGAGAAAACAAGTGTTTGTGAAAATGTTTATATTGTCTTTCAGAGTTTCTATTACTTTCCTTGAGTTATACAATTTGAAAAGGCCATTCAATTTGAAAGCAGGCCCATTCAAATAAGCTTATGCAATGCCCTCAACTGAGTTTTAATGCTCATTGCTCAATAGACATAGTGCAAGAAACAATCCACTGGGTTGTATTGAATAATTATACAATGAGGATGAAATAAATAAAACAAACTAAGTAGCATGTTACACATAACCATGTCTTCTGCTGAGGTTTGCCTATAGCATCACATAGTAATGATAAGGCTAAGGAAAGAAATGGTTAATTACTTTCTTCAGGTACTAAGTATATAATAATAAGCATACTGTACCTGCCCTTGTGGCAACTTTCCTCTTTTGTTATCTTTAACTAAAAGGCCTAAAGTTCTGTGCAGACAGTGGCAGCTCAAGGGTATAAGTAAATTGAACCGGGAAATGTGGGTATCTGTTTAAGCTCCTTTCTACAGATTTTTGCAATGCAAAGGATTCTCTAAGCACATTCAGCTAACTTTTGGGAGCTCTGATGATCCAGTAATTGAGAAGAGGTAGGCCTGTCCATCATAGGAGCTCTCAATAGAGCAAATACAGAGTTCTTTACAGAATTTCAAACACTTACTAAACAAGCAGATAAGTGAAGACACAGGGCAGAGACCTTACAGATATATATTGACTCCTGCAAAGTGCCTGCAGTCTTGGCAAGGTTTTTCACAAGTAGTTCACCTTGTTTCTTTTCTAGGGTTGGGAGTGTAATTGGGCAAGCAATTCAACTTGTCTTCATGCCTAAAGTGGAACTATAACTCATAGCCTCCCGCTTTAGCCTAATGCCTTAATGCCTTCCCCATACTGGCATTCCATATCCATGTCTACCAAGCCGATTTAGATCTACTTATAGACAGATCAACTGCAGGTGTTTATGGTTATTAGTATTTCTGCATACTCTTTGCTTCCTCAACAAATTATCAGTGTTGTTTGTTTCAGATTCCTTTTTCAATTTCTACTTCATTATATAGTAATTAACCTGAATGTGAATTAACTGTATAAGCTATTATCAAGGCATCATCTTGAGTAGGAAATTATATTGTCAGACTCTGTGCTTCATGCTTCTTGTTCTAAAGTTTCCAATACATATACGTCAGGGGTGTCAAACTCACGTCATCGCTGCAGCATCATGTTTGAAGTTTGAAGTTTCATTTTATTTATATGCCGCCCTATTCCCTGAAAGGGACTCAGGGTGGCGAACAACTCCAACGGGAAGGGGAACATGCAAATACAAAATAAACGTTTAAAATGACCAACAACCACACCTGTCGTATATGTATT